ATCAATGGACACTTGGGTTACTTCTACTTCTTGGCTATTGTGAATAATGCAACTAGAACATGTACAAATATCTCTTCAAGATTCTGCTTTCAATTAATTTGGGTCTATACCCACAAGTGGAATTGCTAGATGATATGGTAATTCTATTTTTAATTTTTTTGAGTAAACACCATACTATTTTCCATAGCAGCTACACCATAAAGAGTTTTCAATAAGAGCAAATGCTTTCACGATACTGTTAAATGGAAAAAGTAAGCTATAGCTTACATATATACAGCATAATCTCAACTACATTAAAAAAGCATAGGAAGAAAGATGAAGTAAATAACATGAAACTGTTAACCAATAACAGTGGGTTCCACTAGATGTTGGTAAGAGTAGACTTATATTCTCTTCTTTTCCCTAATTTTCTATGAAGAGCACAAACTACACTGACAGTCAAGAAAAAAATGTGAAAAAAATTCAGTAGGACACATTTTTCTTCTTGGTCATCACATCATCCATTGCATGGAATCTGACAGTCCATTAAGTTTACCACATTTACTAAAAGGACACACACACACACACACACACACACACACACACACACAGAGGTTTTTCTTTTTATAACCAAAGGAGACGCTAGATAACTGAATTGATTTCTGAAAAAATTTTAAGCCCAAAATAACAGTAATTCCAACTCTCAATCAAAGTAAATAAATCTTTTCTCCTCTTTCTCTTACTTGACAGGGCTTTCTAAAAGTCCTTCCTATTCAGGTGGGGCCTGTGATCCACCTGTCCAGCTGGGACAGAAGAGCTGGAATCTGTACATAGCGAGGGCAGCAGACAGGGCCTCGAGCGGGGCTGCACTGACCTCCTCTCCCACGGCCAGCCTCGCCAGGCCACCAGCTGACCCCTAGTTTCACTCAGTTTCTGGCCTGGGTCAGCTTAGTTCTCCTTCAGTAGTTGGTAAACTGCCTTTGCACCAGGAGAGAGAGAGTAAACTGGATTGAGGAGAGAGGGATGGAGGAAAAAGGGAAGGAAGGGACTTGAAGGATTAACCAGCTGATTTCCATAAAGGCTTTGACATCTTGGAATGAAAAGCGGCCTGTAAGAGCAGAAGCCCAGTCCCCTACTCAGGCCATGTTGCCAGCTGGCCATTCATCACCAAAAATTCCCCAACAAATCCATGGCTATTGCTTAATCACCTCATATAAATCCCTATTAATCTTGCAAAGTCAAAACACAAATATATCACAAAAGTCTTTATTTTATATGCCCTCAATTTCGGGGTTAAAATTTTAAAAACGGAACTGGTCATCCAATGGCTCCAATGTCCTTTTTTTTTAACCCCTTTTTGGGGAATAAATAAATGACATCCTCACTAATGTTTTTGTACACACTGGACTGAATAAACTCAAGCTAATGATGAACATAAACTGAAGAAGGAAAAAGGTGTTAGTGCTAAAATTTAAACTGACTTTTTTTTTTTTTTTGCAATAACATTGACGTTTCAAGCTATACTCAAAAGATACAGAAAATCCTTAGTAGGCACAAAAGAACATTTATTCCTCTTTCTTTCGTAAATTTCTATGGACATAAAGGAGCCTCTTCAGCAGCCAAATTTGGAATGCTCTGCATTGTAATGGTTTTCAGGGGAAAAGAATGTGAGAATATAAGTCAGGGGTTGGCTTTGAGAAGGGCCCACTAGGACCCATAAGTGGCTCATCTGAGCATGGGGCTCCCAGTGCAGACAAACACCTTCTGGGACAACACTCTCTGAGGACCTCAAGGGCAGGACAGGCGTGCAACAGGCTGAGGCTTCATCACTTATATCTGATTCTATACCTTCCTATTCAGGAAACTCAAAATTATCCTGCCAGTGACCTGGATAATCCAGAAAAACTGACACGTGGCTTTGGGATACATTGTGCTCTGGCCATGTGTTTTCCTTTCAAACTCTATTCCAGGCTCTGAACACATCCTGCTTAATATGGTAAAAGTGAACTGGGGAGCAAGAGGAAGCCTGGTGTTACAGACCACCCACGGAGTGTAAAGTTCACACTTGGATAATAAAGAGTTGACTGTACTGGAAACATAAAAGTGGCTTTCCTGGACTCTGGGCAAAGAAGGTGGAAACCCAGTGAATTTCAGTGATTCATGCCTTTGTTTTCTAGGGCTGGAAAATCATGGAGGAAAGTCAGAGAATGGGGGGGAAGGGTGGATGCAGACAATAATGAAAAGACTGATTAGAAAACTGCAATTTTCTAAGTGCAATTAGAAGGCCAGGAGGACTTCTCCAGCTGAAGAGGGGGCTGATGGCAGCTTTGTCATCCATCACAGGGAACTGCACAACATGAAGGTCCATTCAGATGGCTGGCCTATTACTCTATCTCCTCCTTCCCAGCCAACAAGCAGGAATTGACTCAGGAAGCCAACAGATGATGAATTTCTATAAGACCCATCAAGGGGTAGCAAACTAAGGGGGCAGAAATTCCTTCCTTATAGAACTTTAAGAACAGGAGATTCAGATTCTGTCTCGGGGCAGTCCTGGCTGGAAGCAGGGGTTTCAATAGGATCGTTTCCCTGACTTCCTGATCCCCAGAAATAATAGCTACGAGGACCAGGCCTACTAATCGGTAAACAGATGAGAGTACAAGTATGATCACAATTCCTTGTTCTCTCAAAAAAGGCATCTTGGGAAGTTCTCTAAAAACCACACAGAAGCCAAATGATACTAGGCTCAGGGGAGCAGTTTATGGTCAACGAACTCCTGTTCTCTAAATAAGAGAGAAAACAAAAATCGTACTAAAAATGAGAGGCTAACCATTAACCATCACTTTACTGGCATTTCAGATACTAGAGAATTTCCCCATCAATATGTCTGGCCAAAGATACAGGTGTTTAGACAAACATGGAGACTCACATCTCTACCCACTGAGAAATTCTTCACTGGGTTGCTTTCCTTTCACCAAGTGGCCTCCATGTATCTCCTCAGCCCCATTCTCTGCTACACATACCTTATACTTTAGGTTTCAGAAGAGCTAACTTCTTTCTAGTTTTCCACACTCACCATGTCATTTCATATTGCTATGTCTTTGCCTATGACATTCCCTGAGCCTGGAACACCCCGCCCTGCCCTGGCCACTTGGCAAAATTCCCAACTCTTTTTTTTGTTTGTTTGTTTTGTTTTTTGGGTTTTTTTTTTTTTGCGGTACCTGGGCCTCTCACTGCTGTGGCCTCTCCGTTGCGGAGCACAGCCTCCGGACGCGCAGGCCCAGTGGCCATGGCTCACGGGCCCAGCCGCTCCGCGGCATGTGGGATCTTCCTGGACCGGGGCACGAACCCGTGTCCCCTGCATTGGCAGGCGGACTCTCAACTACTGTGCCACCGGGGAAGCCCCAAAATTCCCAACTCTTGAAGGCATCCACCCTTCCAACCCCGGGCTGCTCCTGTACCTACTACATACATTTGTTATCATACTCACCATATTCAATGAAAATTATTTATTTACACATCTTCTCACCTCCTGGATGGGAGCTCCTTGAAGCCAGGACTAATTCCTTCTATACCTTTGCATCCCTACATCTCCTAACACAGCGGCTATCGTGTAGCCTACGCTCGCTCACAAGACTTTGTTGAATTACACTGATTTGTGGGTCTCACACTAACCATTGTTTGTCTTGCCATATAAGATGGGAGCCCAACAAAAGTGAACAAAAGCACATTTTTTGAAAAATAAAAAAGAGGCTGTTATGTTAGACAACCAACATACTAATTATTAATCAAAGGCAATATACCACAGCATGGAATGTGGTAGCCTATGGGCCTCTGCTGGACGCCCCTCTCCCGGAATCACAGAGGATGTAGCAGGGGGTGGGAGGCCCTTGCAGTAACACAGATTTTGAACAGAGTGTTACAGAGAGGACTCCTTGTGTAGTCGAGAGAAATTGAGAAATTCTTTTTGCTCCATCTTTCACAGGGTAAATGTTCTAAGTTTCAGAAAAAACTAACGATGGCAAGGATGAAAAAAATATGTATCCACTCTCCTTTGCCTTGTTTATTCAAGCTTCTCTACTACCTACCCAAAAAGGCAATTTGCATGTCTTTTTCTTATTCACCTGCTCTGGGCCCCTCTGCAGCTGCTCAAGTCTAACATCAATCTCTCATCTCTGAGCTGCAACGGTACCTGATAGTTTGTACCACATGATTTAGTCAATTACTGCCTTTCATTGTTAGGATATCTAACACAGGGCTGGGCACATAGCAGGTATTCATAAAAACAAGCTGATTGGTGGACAGATAAAAAGCCATATTACATGCCCCCCAGCAACACAGCAGTTTTAGAAAAACTGTCAAGAAAATATTTTTCTTTCTTTACCACAACCCAAAGTTCAAAAAAGATAAATACTCCTGGGCTTCCCTGGTGGCACAGTGGTTGAGAGTCCACCTGCCGATGCAGGGGACACGGGTTCGTGCCCCGGTCTGGGAGGATCCCCCATGCCGCAGAGCTGCTGGACCCGTAAGCCATGGCCGCTGAGCCTGCGTGTCCGGAGCCTGTGCTCCGCAATGGGAGAGGCCACAACAGTGAGAGGCCCACGTACCGCAAAAAAAAAAAAAAAAAAAAGAGAGAGAGATAAATACTCCAATAACTTTAGAAAACTCATGCCAGTGACTTTTAAAACTCCTACGAGGGGCTTCCCTGGTGGCGCAGTGGTTGAGAGTCTGCCTGCCGATGCAGGGGACATGGGTTCGTGCCCCGGTCTGGGAGGATCCCACATGCCGCAGAGCTGCTGGACCCGTAAGCCATGGCCGCTGAGCCTGCGTGTCCGGAGCCTGTGCTCCGCAATGGGAGAGGCCACAAC